GAACGCGTATTGAAAAATACGCGTTCGATCAATTCATCAGCCAGAGTTGAATCCGTATTACATGAATTAAATGCGAGATTACTAATAAATATTATACTTACCAATTAAGTGAATCGTGGCGTCACTTGTTCCGGAGCCGATGCGTTCCGTGTCCATCGCGTTCTGCAAATGAAACGTGAATGCAATTAAAATAGCGTAAGTGTTTCGTTTCCAGCGCGGTCTATTTCACGCAGCAATAGCGCCACCGTACGCGCTGCGGCGGCGTGGGTGCAACAGTGGCGCGCGGCGACGCCGACGCTACACATTTCGATTTTTGGTCGAACGAGTATTGCGAAATATGCATCCGATCAATCCTGCATCTAATTAGCGCGTAATATAGATTCGGCATTCGAACTCTGATTCGATCGGATGCATAATCGCAATACTCGTTCGGCCGAAAATCAAGATGCGTACCGCCGCCGACGCGTCCGGCGTCGCCCGCGCCGCGACGCTTGTTTCGCGTAAGCTGATGGCATGCGAGATGAATTACGCCGCTTCACTATCTTAGTTATGCGTTTATCCATATGTTCGCTGTATGTTAACGTACGCCATACTTATGGATAAATGCGTAATTAAGATAACGAAGCAGAGCAATTTGTCCCGCACGCGGTCAGCTTATACGCGAAGCAAGCGTCGCGGCGTCGCGGGTCGGCGGCGGTGGCGACGACGAAGGCGCGGCAACGCTACATGTTACACAAATGCAAAGACAAGTTCCGCTTACCAATTATATTAGCCGCGACGCCTCTCGTTCCGCAGATCATCTATCTCGTATCGAGTTCTACAATTACAAAAGAAACCGCTATTAATATAGTGAAGTGGTTTCGTCCATCCGCGCGGTCAACTCTGCGGCTCGCGAGCCAATAGCGCCACCGTACGCGCTGCGGCGGCGTGGGTGCAACAGCGGCGCGCGGCGACGCGTCGGCGAGAGTGGCGGCAATAGTGGTGCGCAACGACGCCGACGCTACATATTTCAATTTTCAGTCGAACGAGTATTGCGAAATACGCATCCGATCGAATCAGAGTGCAAGTGCCGAATCTATATTACATGAATTTAATGCAATATTGATATATAATTATCGCTTGTCTATTAAAAGAGTTGCGGCGTCACTCAAGTGCTTCGTTCCGACGCACTTCCGACGAGATCAACTTCACGGCCTTCACGCGCCGAAAGCGACGCGGTGCAGCGGCGCCGATCCGCATTCCTACTCTTAATTTCGTGTTATGTATATGTTAACATATAGTGGAATATACGTATAGTATTTATTACTCGAAATGCGGAAAATGCATAGACGCAAAGTTAAAAGTAGAACGCATATATTATAGCGTCGCCGCCAACGCGTTGCCACGCTTGTGTTGGGTGAGCTGACCGCACGCGAAATGCATTGCGCCGCTTCGCCGGCTTCGCTATCTTAATTACGCAATTAACGATAAAGAAATTCTTAGAGCATACCAAAAAA